CAAGGGCTCTTTGCCTCGTGCAGCTTCCAGCAGGACCCAGGAGCCCAAAGAGACATCCTGCCCATAGCATCCACAATCTGGGCACAATTAGAAACACAAATTGACCATTACGTCCTTTATTAATCTACTCCAATTTTTATGCTGTGAAAACACCTAATTCCTCTGCTTTGGCTACTGGCCCCTAACATAACAAGTTACATGGGACTTGTTAAAGATAACCAAGATCATAATGGCCAATGAAGTGGTTTGTAAGTTGTTTTGTCTGTGCATTTGTTATAATATCCCGCTGTGTTACATCCATAATTTAAAAGAAGAAAAAGACAGTTAAGGTGAAAGTAGAGAAGGGATCTGTTGAGATTATCATATTTATTTTTCTGCAGAGGTGAGAAGTGAGGTTTTATTGTATATTGCATCTAGACAAAAAATCCAGATATAAAGGAGTGGAAGGAGATAATGAAGCAAGAAGTTGAGGTAGGTCACACAGCTCTAAATTAGGCTCTAGTTTCTAACAGAGCACAAAAGCAGTAACACAGGAGGAATCTACAACAGACCTAAGCAGGAGCAGCATCTGGATCTCAGTGGATCTGTTTGGACGAGCAAAGGAGACATACATCTTGTGTCTCTGAATAGAAATGCTAAAATATATGGATTGTTTTCATTTGTTTTAAATATAGGATGAGGATGGCCAAAAAAAAACACCAACCATGGACCAGAGGGGTGGATTTAGGTGACGTTGTCCTCTACTTTGCAAACTGATTTGTAGGCAGCCTCAAAGACAGCTGATGCTCACAAACTGGGCAGCTGGAGGGATAACAGGCCTCATTTGCATATGCAAAGTGGAATCAGAGTTGATCCTTGCTAAAACCCGACTTGACATGTACATTAGATTCAGTTAGAATTTTAAGCAGTCACCTGAACAGAATCCTTTTAAAGGTGTGCATCCAGATGCATGTAAGTGGACAGAGTCAAATTCTGTGTCCCCCCCACTGGTGCAGCCCTCACTCTGCTACAGGAGCCTGGAACTGTTTGTAGCATCCCATCTCCATCACTGTGGTTGATTTTTATATTCAACTAAATTTACTGATATGTTACTGGGAAAGATACAGGTGCATTTTAGACAACATTTGCAAACAAGCAACTGCCACTCTTTGCACCCCAAAGCCCCTGAGCCCCAACATTTTCAATTCTCCAACAACTTTGTCATCTGAAATGCAGTGCAGTTGGGATCAGAAGTTATTTTTCAAAAGAAAAAAATTTTAAAGAGCTAGCCAAAGGCAATTTTATTCACAAATAGAGGGGAAAAAACCTCAAAATCTAAATCTTTCTTCCAAATATTTTTGACAGTTTCCTTGAACCATGATTCCTGGAAATAGTGCATGACTTTCCCACTGACCAATGTTCTTCAGGACACAAAGGGAGAGCTAGATCTGTACTCTACTAGTATTATGTCCAAATACCAGATTCTAGTGAGAATCTAGAATTGCTAGATTCTAGAATCCAGGATCACTAGATGCGTGATTCCAGAGAGTCAAGAGTAAAAAAGCTAAGACTGATCACTGAACAATAAGGAGAACATGGAGTACAGGTGAGAAGATGGTTCTATCTATGATAGGACACAGCTCCTGCAAAAGGCTTTGCTAGAACACCATTGTCATGGTTACACGGCAGGACCCCACAGCCTCCCAAAGAGATGATGTGTAAGAAGTACAGGGAAGATCTCAGTGCTTGAGCACAGCTGCTCAAAAAGCAGCACGGGGTCATCAGCAGAAGAAAAGATGCCCCCCCAGCTGTAGAGAAGTTACAACAGATCCATTGCCCATTCAGAAACAACCTCCAGTCCTACTCTCCTTGCAGTGATTTACAAGAACAGCCATGTAAAAAAAAAACAAAAAACAATAGAAAAGGAGAATAAGCCCATATGAGACCAAACATAGAACTGGTATGAATATAAGCAGAACAGCTTTGGCAAAAGGTGGCTTGTTGACACCAGCAATGGTTTGTTTTGCCCCAGTTTCACCCATCGTTACCTCTCTGCCATGTCTTGCTACCCGGGGTTCTGCTGCAAGGGCTCTTTGCCTCGTGCAGCTTCCAGCAGGACCCAGGAGCCCAAAGAGACATCCTGCCCATAGCATCCACAATCTGGGCACAATTAGAAACACAAATTGACCATTACGTCCTTTATTAATCTACTCCAATTTTTATGCTGTGAAAACACCTAATTCCTCTGCTTTGGCTACTGGCCCCTAACATAACAAGTTACATGGGACTTGTCTCATCAAAATATCATCATGTCTAAGTAGAAGATCTGTCTGAACCACAGTGAAAATGAGTAATGATCACAATTATGGGCCATATAACAGTCCAATAAAATCTAATTAAAATGATCCACATCCCATCTGCCAACAGCACATAAGCAACACCAGCCATGGGGGGGGGGTGGGCAGGGGAAGAGAGTAAATAACACTGTCTTAATTTTTAAAATATGAAATATTTCACAGTGAAAAAGCCATTTATATTTTATAACTAGTTCCAAACTTGCCAATGAACTTCTGTGGTTTTTGGAGATTCCTCACCCTTAAGTTAAGAGAAGTTTTGGGGGCTGCTCCCTGGGAGAAAATCCCAGGAAGAAGTTCTCTCAAAGTAAACTTTTCAGAAGAGCCTGTGCAGTTTGAGTCCCTGAGCCTATTTTCAAGTTGACTTAAGAACTGAGTATCCTGAGTTCCAGTGCCTTTTAAAGATGCAAGCACATTTGTACCAAAAAAAAAAAGACTTTTGGGCATTATTTTATTGGTTGTTCCTTTCTCAGGACAACAGCCAAATAAAAATACCATCATATGGTCTTACTTCCCATACTTAGTGAACCTCCAAACTTGATCACTTCTTGGGCTTTCTACAGCCAGCAACAAATAATAGTTCAAATTACTTTCTAATTGTGACCTGCTCTCACATTTGAGACAGTGAATTTGCTTTCTGATAACATTGAATATGAGGTTATCAACAAATTGCCAAGAAGGTAAATAGTACTATCCTACTACCTGAAAAGAGAAGACACTTGAAATAGCACCATGTTCCCCTCATCTCATTGACCACTGAATGGAACCAAAAAAATCAAAGGACAAGATACAAAAGATTAGGAAAAAAGGTGCTGAAGTCTGGTTTGAAGGAAAAGAAACATTTGGTGATGGAAACTAGATGTTTTCTCACCTGCAGGTGCTGTGAAGTGCACACAAAGCCGTGCCTGGATAGAAAGTAAGATGAGAGTAAAGAGAGAGCAAGCTGAAGAGCAGGGAGAGCACACCTCAGTGTGCTTGAGATGGCTCTGCAAATGTTAAAGGTGACACTTAAGGCAACAGTCAGGGTCTGAATCTGAGTAGCTTTCTATATTGAAGAGAAGTGAAGTAAAGGTAGAGACAGCCCATCCTAAACTCCAGGCAGCAAAAGCTCAAACTAAGTTTCAGCGTGCTTGTCTGGCTATAACTTGAGCTTTGTTACAAGGAACCAGTCATGACTTCAGAGGGAAAGTTCAACTTTGGATCCAGCTTCTGTCTGGGAGCCACCCAGGGAACAGCAGCAAATGTCCACTACTTCCACAGAGGTGTTCACCGATGCAAAGAGGCTCACTCTTTCAACACGTGGTTAAATTGCCTTTGTGTTCTATATCTGATAGCTTGACAAAAGGATGAAAACTCCTCTGTCATTTCTCCATAACATGGCTAGTCTTTATGGTTGGGTCTCCAGTGCTTTGGCCTTACAGGAGAAACAATTCTTAATGGTTTGAACTACATCCTTGCCCTGTTGCTGGTACCAGCTTTCATCTGAGCATTGCTCACTTGAAATTAAACCAGTCTGAGCAGCCTTTTCTGCACTTACAAAAACACGTGTAAGGGAAGACTTGTGATCCCCCCTCCCAGTCTAGAAGTTGTGGGACCATTTATCACAGTTCAGTGGGAACTTGGCCTTCATCCCATCTCTGGTGTTTCCGTTTGGAAGGGAAAGTGCTCCTCCTTACTTGTAAAATCTTCCTAAACATACCTTGCTACGTCAGCCTGTTAGCACCCGATTTTTGAACTGCATCCTTGAAAAGCCCCCTGACTCTGCATTTCCCAGGCTGTAGCTCTCTTGAGGGACACGCAGACCTTTCCCCACCCTCCGTTCTTCCTTCACCTCAACAAAAGGTGGGCTCTAGCTGCCAACTCCAAAAACGCTGATTTTTTGATCAAAGTTAAGAATGTTACCTCTTGAAATTTTACCTAATGATCAATTTCTATACACAAATTTCTGAACATTTCTATGCCAAGGTACCAAAGCCATCCAAAATTTTAAGTTTCTAGAACAGGAAGCAGAATATACCTGGGATGGTGTCTATTTTTGCATTTTTTTTTTGTGATTAGTCTCCATCCATCTGCAAAATGATTGTCACAGTTTCAGTCTCAGCTGCCCCTGTATTGCAGACTTTTAATACCTCACTGGTTGTTTATGAGATGGCTACAGCCCATTTTCATACCATTGGGCCAAACTAAAGCAGTGCAATTTTGCCATTAAAGGAAGCAGAAGGTTTCACAACTTCACTTTGACTGTGGTTGCTCAAATCACTCTAACCTTTGACTGAGGAAGAAGTTCAGGAATGCAGAGACACAACAGTCTCCAGCGTAAGTGTTATGACAAAATGAAAGAGGGAAAATACATATTATACACATCACCTCTGGGAAACAGTAATCACAAAAGTTATTAAACATTCTGTCAAAGGCTCTGCAGACTCCTTTTCTCTCCTGCCCAGTTTTGTTAGCAATAAAGGCAGGTTGCTAATATTTGTCACTTTCAAATTCATAATTTACTACTCAAAAGGCAGCAAAGATACATTATATTTTCATAGAAGGCTATGAAGTTGTCCAATTTTCCAGAGCTGCAGGAGGACTGAAACCCAGCGCTGTGGCATAGGTCCTTTCATGCATTATGGATACAGTGATTTTACAATTCAAAGCAACAGTTCTCACCTTTCCCGTTTTCCTGGCATCGTTGGATGATGCTGTAGGAGATGCAGCAGCTTTTGAGATTGACAAACACACACCCTTTATGAAGGCAAATGGCCGATGAGAGTCTGGTCGAGGCACCCCAAATGCTATTGCTGTATTGAGGGCAGGGATTTGGCCCTCTTGTCCAAGAGTCACTTCTAGCATTTCAGTGGTGTAAAAAAGTATGTTGGAAATCACTGGGATCCACGTTTTCACCGCTAATTCTGAGTGTGTAACCTACAAGAGAAATGGGCAGATTTTAGAAACCTGCTTTTTACAAATATCCAGCGAGGACGTACAGGACTTTGACTTGCAAGGCCACAGCCTCCTGTCTTCAAAGCAAGTTATTCCACCAGTTATCATACCTTACAGATTAATATCCCATCTTTGGATTCCCCCCATTATAACGTGTTCTAATAAGGTTTTGGTAAGCATATTCCTATTGACTTGCTCTTGTGGGTTCTCTGGAGTCTAATAAGGCATTGTACTCATTAATACAGCTTTTTTTTTTTCTGTACCTAGAATCCTTTAAAACTGGTCACCCTATTTTAGTGAAACTTGTAGGAACTTAATCTCTTTCAGTCTATACACAGTACATGCTTAAAACAAGCTAAAAAGGATTGCCAGTTTCCCTGCCTGTAATCAAGCTTCAGTCCTTTCCAGTTCTCAAAATGAAATCTTGCCTCTGCACAGTCTCTGAAGCCAGCTTTGTCTGACACATTAGAACAGAGAACAGCATTTCATTTTTTCCAAGTTTAATATAGACTTAGAGCACAGTTTTGTACTATGCACTTAACTCCTATTGGCTTGAGAAAGGTTTACTTAAATTCTTCTAGGGAAATTAGAGCCCATAGACACAGAGCTTACATATCCATGCACATGCCAAGAGACATGCCAAGCCTCATCACATCCAGCGAAAGAACTCCCATTTGAAAATTAAAGACAGGTTCCAAAAGCTCTCTCTTCCTGAAGCATAGATTTTTCTACGTAGTTAATTTTGCAAGATTTGAAATTTTACTTTATGTGTCCTCCTTTTTCTAATACATTGAAAATATCCATTGACAAAATTTTTTGATGCACCTTTTCACTTTAAATCAAATCTTATTCCCTCTTCCCTTCCCTCCCCTAAAATCTTCAGATTATCTCCAAAACTATACTTCATACACTGGAGAAACATAAAATAATTCCAGATCTTCTGTCTGCTCAATATAAATATTTCATTATGACCAATTTCACTGTAAATGGGTCCGGCTATAGAGGATAACAAGCAAACAGCATACGTACAGAGTGGGCCACGTGCCATATAGGAGTAAAGGGAGGGAACGAGGAAGGGGCTATATTTGCAAAAAAGCCTGCATTTCCAAAGGAGGATGAAGGTCCTCATGTTGCTGTTTAAAGAGGGCAGTGTGTTATCTATCCCTCTACGGCCAAAACTGTGGGGGAGCTACTAACGCCTGAAAAAGACTGGAAAGACTGAGCAGGCAAGGGAGAAGGGAGGTTTATTAAATCAAATGAGATTCAATACTAACGTAGCTCACTGCTATAGATCCTGAATCCAATATCCTACATGAGATGGATAATGATATAGTCAGTGGGAGGTCCTTCCAAAGGGGTAAAAAATACAGCTATATTTTTATTTTATTCCTTTTTTTTTTACCCCTTTCTATCTTGAACCTTTGCAGAAGGGAGGGGAAGTTTGTCTCGTTTCTACTTTTTCCCTGCTTAGAAAAAAGAAAACCAATTTCATCGCGTATACATACAGGAGACCAAAGCCAGAAATTCACAAGAAAGCGGCATTCAATCAGGAATTTGAGAATTAGGCTGGGAAGAGTAGGAGATGAAGTGTTCTGGGTTGTGGTGGCTTCTGAATTAATTTGCTGAAACTCAGTACTCAAGCGAAAAGGGCCAACTTCCCAGCTTCTGCAAATGAAACCAAAATAACTGAAGTAAAATTAATTCCACGGGTTTACCCCCAAATCCCCTGCCTTATTTCTGGCCCATTCACTGCCAGCATTACTGAACACATCCACTCTGAGCACGTACCTTTAAGCAGGAATAACAAATTCCCATTTTGTAAGAATCCTGGTAGGAGAGAGCTGATATTCTTCAGGTCTTAATAAGCAGAGTTAAGATGACATAGGAGATTTTTTAATCAACGTTAAACGAGGGTCTCCTATACAGTCCCACAGGCAGTTTCCATCCTTCCTCACTGTGCATAAAGCAAAGGAGAAGTCAGGTTGCACAGCTCTGACTGTCGGTGTGAGCCCAGCAACAGAAAAACACAGTCACCTTGTAGAGCAGATCCAGCAGTACAGTAAATACAAACATACGGTATAAATTACACAGCTATTTGCTTGATTTACCCAAGCATGCTAACATTATGGACTGATAGAAGAACAAAGCAGATATATTTAAGTCCTGAAGCTACTGATCCCAGATGCACTAAGCAAAAAGACTGTAACGGATACACAGTGACTCACAGAAGCCAACAGAAATCATCCAAACACCAAAAGTCCAGTAAACACATATAAAGATATATGCATAGGGGGTTATCAAATAAACCAACCAAAATTCAGGGCTTATGTACGAGTTATTCTGTAAGTATTTGAATGCAGGGTGGGGTCCATTTGACTGGAAAAAAAAAAAAAAAGACCCTTTCAGAGATGTTTTACAGGAGCATTCCAGGTGAAGACAGTAAGATTTCTGTAAACTATACTGAATGTTTTTCCCTACCCTGCAGACAAGGGGTCAATAGTCTGAAAGTACTTTTAGGGTTAGATTTTAGCTTTAGACTTCAGACAGATACACACTCTCTGGTCAGCATAAGCAAGAGAAGCTCTTAAATCTTCTCAAAGAGAAAAAAAAGACAAGCTGAAAGTGCCAGGCTGCTTTTTCTGACTTTCACAGAGAAGCTGAGGTTTCTCAACCTGCCCCTCTTCATCTTTTCTCCATCCCTACAGAGATTCTGACTCCATGGTTGACTTTGGAGTGCACACACACACATCCCCCACCCCCAAAATTGTGCAATTTGTGGTTTAAAATTACTGACGAACTTGCAGAATTTCTGAAATTCACCCCAGACGGCAGCTGGGGTGATCGTGTCGCTCCCCCTTGTGAGCAGACCAAAATGATCATTTAACTTTTTTACTGAGTTATTTCTCTATATGGCCGTCTCTGTTAATCAACTAAAACAATGATTTAACAAGTAATTTGCAGGATGTATGAATACATAAACATATATTAGGAGTTAAGTCTCACAAAACAATAGAGAAATTACTCATTTTTAAATATGCCATAAGATAAACTACATAATTTTAAAGACTGTCCATATTATATGACCTATAGCCAGAAGTGGTCTGAGACCCCTCATATTGCATTATTGTGGGCTTGTTTTTAATACAACATACTCAACGTTACGACTAATGTTTCCTGCTTATGTTTTGTGTTTCCCCCAAAGCTGTATTAGGATTGATATTGCGGTAGGTTATATCAGCACAGACACACTGCCCAATGTCACATCAATACTAACAGGACTTCTAATGCTGGCTGCTGTTTTATGGGCATTTTCAGACACCATTGTGCATAGAGTATAAATATTTATAGATGACGTGTGTTTGTGAATACATGTACGTACACAGGACCAGGCAGACCCAGTTAATCAGCCAGTTTGAAAACTTCATTGCTTTCAGATGAAAAAGAAAATTATATTAACATATCAATAGCATATCCATGCTGAGAGAGTGATTACCCTTTACATCTTCAGGATATCCAAGCACCCAGACAGGCCCAGCTACATTAACACCCTATCTGAAATATTCCGTCTCGGTATCTCTCATTTCTCCCTTACTCTTTCTTCCGATTTTCTTCTCTCTTATCTGCCTTTCCTCTTTACCCTTTTCCCTCTGTCTCATTTCTTTTTCCATTTCCCTTGTCCATCCGTCTTTCTCCCCTCCCTTTTGTCATTCCCTTGTCTTTTTTTTTTTTCCCCCCTTCCTCCCTTTTTCCCCCTTCTTTCCCTCCTGTTCTCCTTCTCCCACCTCTGTTCCTCGCTGCCTGTTTTGCTTGAAGTTTCCACCTTGTGGGTGCGTACTGCTGACTTCACATTTGCTGCGGTGTGAACTTCACATCTGTGAATGGATGACAGGAAAGATTAATAACCCCGCGTTCCCCTTCTCCTTGACTGTGGGCCTATCTAATGAATAAATATATAAATAAATAACGGAGCTTAAAAATCACCTAAATAGAGACCCAGAGCCTGGGAGAAAACAATATTTTGCTGATTCTAGTCTTTAAAAAAAACCCCAAAAACAACAAACCAGCAACAAAACCCCCCCACAACCTCTAATGATCTCTAGTTTACATACTCGGCAATTTTTTTCCTAAATACTATATGGGAAAAAAAGAAAAGTTAGAGGCAAAGGAATGAGCCCTTTCTCCTGAACCAATTAAAGGAAAAATTATTTAAAAGCAATAATACAGGAGATACAGGACATGTGTGGGAAAGAAATTGAGCTGCCCTACAAAAAGCAGAGCTGTCAGATGGTGAGAGCCTTGTCAGTAACATCTCTCACACAGCCCGTAGAAATGACACTGCAGAGCTGTAACGCTGACACAAGGAAGGTGTCTCGGGCTAATTCCAGCTTTTCCATGCAAAGGAAAGTCTCTGCCTTTGGCTCCAGACCCGATTACACCATCCACAGCAACTTATCCAAATAGGTGGTTCCCATTACGATTTAGGTTCAACAACTTTTTGGCCAGTTTCTCATTTTAAGTTGATCATCTGATTTAATTAAGTCTTAAGTGAAAGCAGAGACAAACAGAGCAAGGAGCTCCACAGACGATGCCTCTTCAGCATCTTTGGAGAAGGAGGAGGGGAGCTTTGCACCAAACTCATTCTCAGTTTAATCCTTCACCTCTCTCTCGCTCTGAAGAAGATCTTAACAAAATCTTTAGTTCTTGAGGGAAGAGGAGACATCTCACCTAGGGAACACAGCAGTCTGCCTGGCCTACGCCTGCAGGTCAAATCTGATGAAGGTTAGAATGGTGACAAGTTTTGGGGTCTCAAGGCATTACCTTCAGGAAACTACACGTAAAGCACCGTTACAAGTACAGCAGTTTGATCCAAAGGCATTCAGCAAAAATTGATGCACATAAACGTAAACACCCAGGGGAAGGCAGGGGAGAAATAATTAAATCAGGAACTCTGCTCCATTTTCTGCTCTTGGGCAAAGTTGTTGCCACCTTTGCTGAGTCCTTTGCACAAGCACAACTAGAGGATTAACTCCCCACTCACTCGCTCCCATGTTTTATTGCATTCTTGCTAAATGTTAGACAATCTGTCCAAGATAAGACACCCCATATCTTTCATCACCACTTTCCCCCCAAACCCCAAACGAAGCCAGGGGAATCCCCACATCTTGACTGTAGCTTTTTCCAGAGTAATTTTTTCAGAGCTGTAGGAGAAGGAGACCAGAGACTGGAATCACCATGTTTATGATGTGACCTCAAGAAACAAAAAGCCACGGTACAAAATTCCTAACACAGCTCATTTAACCTCTGCTACTTTTCCAGTCCCCAACCACCTTCACTGCTTTAAAGGAAGAGTCTCTCCTTCTCCATTTTCATCCAGCTGGGACAGAGATCTTCAGATCACCCAGTTAAGGCTGCCCTGAAGTGACAGTAGCTGAACATGGAGCTGTGTTCACCCCAAGAAATGACTCCTGCAGCAGGGACAGCTGAACCACACCATTGCTGATGTCCACTTGTCCCCAGACGCCTGTTTGCTCTGCCGGGTCCAAGGCCAGGACCACAAACCAGGCATTCTGCATTTGCAGAGCATTTCTCCCTGACCCAGAGAGTGATAAATCTGTCCCACTCTTGTAGAGTGGGACTAAGATTACCTTTGTTTGCCTCCACATTGTCTGCTGCCACCAGGCACCTGCTCGGTGCTGAGCCCCAGCAGCCACGGGCTCTATGAGGCAGCCACGCTCCATCACCAAGTGTTTCCTTCTCTGCTCTCATTTCATCTTTCAGTGATGTTTCTCACTCCCTTGCCCTGAGCAAGGGAAAAAGAAGGCAGCAGGATGAACCCACTCCTCTGCCACCCTCAAAACCTTAAATTCCCCCTGTCCCTTCACCGCAGAAGAGAATTCTAACTTGCAGAAGACAACTTAAGCATCTCCTAAAGCAGCAGATCCCTGGCTTCTCCCATCTTTCTTTGAAATACCTAAAACCGAAGGTGGCAGCAAGGTCCTGGCCTCACCAACCTTGTTTGGGGCAACCTGCACAGCAAAACCTGCCTGCTCTTTCTAAGGTCATCCATGCGTCTAACTGGGTTATTGCAACGGTGAAAAAACTTTTAAACCTTCTGTAAAAAAATACCTGCTTTAAAAAAAATAATAAAATCAGCGATGTAACAAATATAAGCTACTCTAAATTGGTTTATCAGGTTAAGTAGGTCTGCAGCTGCACAGAACATCTGGCCTTTAAAAAAATAAAGCAAAGAAAAAGGGACACAAAGCACGTCCCTGCTCACTCTCGTACACGTGGGTAATTTTACTCATGTGAACACACCAGATAAGGCCCATAAAATCATGGGGGAAAACCCTTAGTAAAAAGATAGATATCCTGTCATCTTTCCATAAATATGCATGTTACACACACTTTTTAAAAAATAGTAGCTTTTAAATTGCTGTTATTAATGAAGAAAAATATTGGGCTTAATCCTACAGCTTTTATTTAACAAAACAGCTACTATAATGAACTGCAGGATCAGGCCCAGCGCAGCCAATTTTACAATTCTTCTCTTGCATCCCTATTTTAAAATAAAGCAATTTTTCTCCCTGGAAATTTTGCAATATCCATGAATAATAAACTGCTCTAAAATGATAGTGACCTTCAGGTTTTAAATTTGAAAAGAATTCTAGATGGAAGAAATAAATGCAGTGTAAATAACCACTGGGTAATTAAATTTATTTTTAAATAGCATCAAAGTTCAGAAGAAAGAGAATAACAAAGAATATCTCATATAGACATGCATAAAGGCTGTGTCTGTATAATTACTTATCTAGCAGTAACCAAAGTCTTTTTTATATGGATTGATTATTTTTGAGATTGCATCTTGCAAATCTGAACTAGAAATGCTTTTTGCACAGTGTTCAAACATGAAGATGCCTTTGGTAACACTACAGGCTGAGGATCCCAAATAGATATTTAATTTAGATTGAACAGGACACTTATGCCACGGTAAATAAACCGGTTTATTAATGAAAGTCTTTTCATTGATGTTTAATGGCTATCATACTATGGAAATGCTGTTAATCCAAAATAAATGTGTTTAATAATCAACTGATATTTGTTTATAATGCAATAATTGTCTTATTAAATCAGAATTAAATGCCTGTTTGGAAATGTTAAATTAAATCTCTACTAAGACTTATGAATAAGGGTATAATTAATAATTCTCTTACTTCTTGAAAAGAAGGAACAAATTAATTGTCAAAATATTGTAATGTATTTTGTGAAACCCCATAAATGAGAACTTTGAATTGTTAAAGTACAAAGAAGAGATAACTGTTCCTAAGAGCAGATTAAAAATTCTACATTATAATTATTACATTTCGTAGGATTTCTTTTACTGGGTTTTAATAATTCTAAAGTCTTTTCTTTTTAATCAAATTGTTTGCTGACTGGGAGAAGAGAAAGAGAGGAGGGATATCTTAATTTCCTTATTTCCTTACAGCTACTTGCAAAATAGCTGCTCTCAGTTCGACAAATTTTCCTTTCCAAAAGCAATTCTGTACTGTTGAAAATTCCAAAGTTCTTTTTCTTTTTGATTCCTTTTAAACGCATGTTTTCTTTTAAAAGACTGGGGGGAAAAAAAAAGATTACAGTTAACTCATTGGCTTTAATTGCAAACACATCCCTTCCCATCAGCACGGCACTTGATCAAAATGCCAGAAATAAATATATTAAGACATCCATCAGTCTCCCGTCCCCGCTGTCATTTTTTTTTTTTTAAAGAAGTTGCAAAGCGTCTGTTATTCCCATTCTAAGGGCTGGGCTGAGTCCCACCGGGGTTTTTGCTGCTTTTCAAGGACTGAAAAATTAAATTTGTTTTGGTGGTGTCAGCTTTGCACCCACCGGGAACCGTCAACAGCAGATGCAGGAGAACCACGAGCAGCAGCAGCTGGGGAACATCACGGTGGGGAATGGGCTCCTGAGGCACCACAGGGACTGAGGAGAGAGAGAAAGAGGCTTTAATCCTGCAGGTAAAAGTGGAATAATAGGTGCTTGTAAGTCAGAAGGACATGGATGGTCTTAAAGTGAAATTGTTTAAGAGAGGGAGCTGGGTACCACTGAAGATGCTCTGGGCAGCTCAGAGGCTGCCCCTGCTTCACTCAGCGCATTTAACCACATCACTGTTTTTAATAAATAGGCTGCAGTGAGGAGGGTGTCAGAGCAGTTCAGTTCTCTTTAAGGAGTAGTGATTTTTTACAAAGCAACTGAAAAGATTCGAACCAAGTGACACCTCGTTTTTCTTTTGGTCACCGTTCAGGAAGTTATAGCCTCGTCCACTTCTGACAATTATCTCTATTAACGACCCAAAGCACAGGCAGACCTTCAAATTGTTCTTTTCCTAACATTTTAAAAAAGAAAAGAAGAAAAAAATAAAGGAGGTTGGTGTGTTTCCAAGTCTGTGTTTCAGACAGCTATTTGGGTTATAAAAAGAAATAATGCCCACAGCTAAGTGCCCCGTAAAAAAATAAATAAATCCAGTATTTCCTTGAGTTAACAAATGGACCCAAAACAAGCAGTGATCTCCCTCTTTCTTTTTGCTATTTGTGACGACTTTTAGCACAGGAGTCTCCCAGCACGAGTATTCATAGGAATCACCGGTTTGGGGAATCTGGATTTAGAACACAAAAATCCATGTTGCATCTGTCTTGTCAGGACAGAAAAGCACCATCGGGTGACCCGTCCCTCAGTCAGACTGGAGGAAACGGGTCAAAAATTCGCAGAAATAGGATTAGTCACGAAGTACCCAGCACGTAACCAATAGAGGAACACATACAAAAACCAGACTGCTCGGACAGTTTGCAAATAGAAAAGGAATAAATTCTCTTAATGAATTATTCAGAACGTGGTCAGCTCTACCTTGGGCCAAATTTATCACGAGCAAATGCAACTCCCCATAAAGTTCACGGTGCTTTTAACAGGAGGTTTACTACGGTGCTCTTTGGCCACTCTCAGTGTTACACGGGAAACTAATTTCTCTGGAAGCCTCTGTCAAGTGGTTCAAATTTCTAATAAAAATGTTACCTTCCATAAAGGAGGAAAGTACATTTTCGCTGACTGATATTGCACGCAACAGCCCAGAAATGTTTCCTAAACCTTTTATGAAATGGTTGCTTGTGTCAGTTAAGTAATTAACAATATTCCGGGAGACCATCAGCTACCAGAATCTCATTGTCCTCTCTGCATGTGAGCTGGAGTGCATAAATATATTTAAAAAAAAATAAATTTCTTGTCACTTGAAGCTGTGTGTGCGCACAGCTATTACAACCAAACTCCAGCGAGTCAAAAGAATCACCCCGTCTATGCAATACAACCATAATTAAACACTCAAGCCCTGTCATAACAGCAGTCAGAGCTGAAAAGATCTGACATCCTTAGCACCAGTTCACTGGGAAAAGAAGCACGTTGCAGAGGAGAGCTCACCCCCTTTGAAGAGAAAAAGAAAAAGAAAGAAGGTCGGAGAGAAAAAGGAGGAGAGAAAGAAAGAAGGAAGAAAAGCTATTATTTTGCACAGCAGAATATGGTATTCTTTCATTTCTTTATAATTCCTATATAATTTAGTATCTAAAATGCTTTTATTTTAATTGAAGAATCCACTTCTTCTAATTCACTGGTTTAAATTTTACCAGCTAAGTGTTCATTGATTACAAGGGAAGAGGAACACTTCAAAACATCATTTATTCCCTTACACACTCAGGCAAGGCCAGTGCTTAATATTTGCATATAGACCTGGGAAGGTTTGAGGGCTTCCTCAACCTAGTCAGGGTGTCATTTAGAAGAATGATATGGTCTAACACCGTCTCTGAGACACCAGCCTCCCAGAAGATTGGAAAACGTTACCCTGTTACAATCACAAAAATAAAAATAAAAGTTCCCAGCTTAAAAAGGAAAAGTACATACCTTCGACTAGCAACAATAAATTACATTTTATAATTATAACATTTCTAACATTTACCATTTAAGAACGAATGTAAAAATTAAACAGAGTGAAAAATTAATAAAAACCATAATTTCAAGGTCTCCAAACGGCTTTTTACCCGTGAATCAAGCCCGGCTCCCGTGGAAAGCCCCAGAGCTCCATCTTGTGGCTTTTCTGTTCCAGGAAGAGAAAAGAATTAAAAATAAAAGTAATTTTGTTATTAAATCACTCTAAAATGCAATTTCTTTTGCTGGCATCACACGAAGAAGCAAGGCAGAGAAGAAAAACAGCCAACAAACTATTTTTTGCTCTATTTTGCTGTGCAATGTCATCTCCTTTTTCACTTAAGGAAAAATTCTCTGCTTTTTCCTAACCCACAGCCCATTGCAAAACCATTGCCAACAGTGGGACCTAAATTAAATAAACCTGTGGTCTGGAAGAGAAAGTTGCTGGGCTGGAGAAGGGCAACAGCACCGAGCAGGGAGGCCACACAGATCCCAATTGAAACCAGTTTGCAGTCGCTTGGCCCCATTCAGTTCTCTCCCCGCAAGCGCCCTCCTTCATCCCGAAAGAAAAGGGCTATTTGGGCCAGGCCTCCCACATCCCGGGACCTGCAGTTATTTTCTACTTGTGTTATTTGCTGTTTTATCACCTTTGCAGTGGGATGCCCCAGAGTTTCTGAACCCGCTGCTCTCGCCAGCCCCGCTTCTCCTCGGCCTCCCACCCGCAGCTCCCGTGCCACAGCCCACGAGGAGCTCAGGGGGGAGTTTGTAGGTGCTCCTGGTGAAAAGAGAGGGATGATAAAAGATAAATAGAAATTAAAGAGGCACAACTCCCTTATCGGACGGAGAAAAGCTTCTAGCTCGGTGTTTGAAAGACAGGTTGATGTAGTGCTGGGAGGTATGGTTTAGTGATGGTGATGCTTCTTGTTTGTTGTGCAGATGTCTATTTGTGTCAGAGTTAGGTTGACGTTTGGACAAGATGATCTTTAAGGTCCCTTCCAACCTAGAAGGTTCTGTGATTCTGTGATAAAATGGGGCTTGTTCGATATTGCATTTGGAGAAGCAAGATTGTGCTTAGACTTTACTCAGACACAGGTAAAGCAGACAAGTCTGCTCCTTTTTTTTTTTTTTTAAACCCTGAATCAGTAACAGATAAATCCCAACTTAATTGTTGTTTTCCCACTCTCAAACGGGACCCTCCTTAGGAGGCTATTGATCCGTTTCCCACAAGAAACCATGCTCAAAATTCAGATTTCCACTCAGTGTCTCATCCAATCGAGGGGCATCCCTGAAGATATATTTTCAGGAGGCTCATAAATCTTTGAGCCTCATTAATCTAAAAATCAAGCCGGGAGGTTAAAAAAAAATAGAATATAAGAAAGTGAGTTCTTGTGGAAACATCACTAGGTGACAGAACGGGCAGCACCAGACCTATAATGCACTGTGCACCTTGTCAAAATACCCTCCACAAAGGAGCAAATGGTTCTACGAGTTTGCACTGAAGCAAAGTGTCTGTTGCCTCCAGGTGACCAGTTTGAAACTGGCCCAGTTGCCAGCCAGGCTCCCTGTCGTGTTGGACAAGCCACACAAAGCCAGCCCCTCTCCATGGCTCATTCCCACTCTGGGACAGGGCTGTGGCAGGGGTGGGTGTAGCCCAGGTCATTTGAATTGAGCTAAATGGGGGGCTGATTGCAGAGAAACTAAGGAAGGATAGTAACGAACCACAAGGAGTCACTCAGCAGTGAAATTTAGATTTAAGATGAGATTTAGACTGGAGATTAGGAGAGGGTTCTTCACTGTGAGGGTGGTGGAGCACTGGAACAGGTTGCCCAGGGAGGTGGTTGAGGCCCCATCCCTGGAGATATTCAAGGAGAGGCTCGACGAGGCCCTGGGCAACCTGGTCTAGTTGGGGGTGTCCCTGCTCTGTGGGGAGGTCGGACTAGATGACCTTTGGAGGTCCCTTCCGGCCTGGGCAATTCTATGATTCTATGAAACCTCCCCCCTAACACTTTATTACCTGCACTGGTTATGCTGCAACCAAGAAGGAGACCCTATAAGGTCAGCCAGATCTTATATATGGGTCTGCTGAATGAGATCGAGGTGGCAGAGAGAAAGGAACTATCCCCAAGGTCTGGTGGTGAGCAGCAGGTACTGAGGAGAAGAGGTTCCCCGCTGGCAGGCACAGAGGAGTTCATTCCCTCCCCTCCTCACCTCCATCCCCACTGCCGTCCCGTGGAGAGCTGAGCAGAAGCAGGAACATCTCCGCCGTCCTTGGGAGGGCCGGAGGTCAGCCTGGGAACAGCTGGCTCACCCACAGCTAAAAATAATCAGTGTCTTCCTATATGTGACAGGAATCTTAGGAAACACATTGTCAAGTTCAGGGAAGGGCTAATGGCCATTTCCCCAAATCCATTTGTCTTCTGACACTAGGTTGTGCAACCTTTACTCGTCCTGGGACAGGACTTTGGTCCTTCAGGACTTCCACTGGGACTAATGTCACTCTCCTTGGATTAAAATGAAAATAATGTATGAAAAGGAATGGGGAGGAGCAGAAGGATGGGGTGTAGCTCCAGAGGTGTAGAAGGACCTCTGCAGAGCAGCCAAGGCCACATCACTGGCAACTTGAAGTCCACAGTTAAGAAGAATAAAAGTAAAACCAAGAAAAGGGAAAGCATAACATAGACCTAAGGGAAAACGACAGGATAACTAAACCATGTGTATATTCATCTCTCTTTTTTTCCTAGACTCATTTCTACAATGGGCTGTATTTATATTTCAAAATGCTTCCCCTCAAAGAAACACCCAACAACTAGAGAGGATACAGGAGTTGACTGACATCTTATTTCTCTGTGTTTGCATTTTTTTTTTCCATGCAGGGCATAATCTGGTTCTTAGGGAGTTAATGCACCTGCCATTCCAGTGCTGACAAGCAGTTTTTCAGAGGAACATGGAATTTTATTTATTTATTTATTTATCTAAGGAGCCCTGAAAATTGTACTCGGGAGACTTCTTGAGTACTGCCAATAACTAGCAGGTACCAACACATGTACATTTTTGACTGCGCTATGATTGATGGTGCTTATTTGTGGCTTGCTGCCTAAACCTCCCCTTTTCCTTTGCTTTGTGTCTGTCTCTCTTGCTACGGCTTTTTTGTGTGTGTGTGGTTTTTGGTGTGGTTTTTTTTTAAATAATAAAGACACTTTAGCCATTTGGGTTGGGGGGGAAAGGAGGGGGGAGAAGGGGAGGAATGATTTATCTGGTGCCTCTGTTGTCTTTGAGCTGCTCTATTCCACAAAGAGACTCAGAGCAGTCAGTGGTAAGAAACTGAGATCTACAGTGAGTAGATAAGAAAGGGGAGGAAGGAGGACTCTGGGTTGATTAACCAGAGCTGTGGACACAAACAGGCAAAACCCTGCAGACACATGGGTCGGGGGAAGCCACCTTCTGGGTTTGGTCCTGCTTCCAGAGCCCCTGCTGGATTTCTTCCCTCTCTGAAGTCAAGAGACCCAGCTAATTCCCACAGGCAAAAAGATCAATCCTCATTTCTCTACCCCTCCTTACCTACCTTCACCTCCTTGGAGCAGGGAGTTCAGGCACGAGAAGTCTAACACAAGGCTCTAGAAAACAGCAGAAGACTGTAACATCCACCCAGTACAAACATTCACTTCCCTGTCCACGCTTTCCAAGCCTCCATCCAATGACCGAACCCATCTTAATAGGCTTACAGGGACCCCAGGCAAACTTCAGAGCTGGATGGTGTTTCTCCTTCAATTCCACAGATGACTAATTGCTTTTATCACTTTTTCTAAGCCCCTCTACACCTGCACAGCACATTGGGGAGAGGCAGAGGAGTGTTTTCCATTTCCCTCGCACACAGGTTAACCTGCTACTTTTCTTTCAAAGGTAGAAGATTGATCTGATGAAAGCTGAAGCATGAAGTGCCTGGCAACAAGACAGAAATAGCAGTAGGTCTACCAGGAGATCATTCTGACTTTGCATAGCTGGATCCAGCCAGAAGTCCCTGCGTTGCTGTGAGTGGCCATATGGGAGCTATTCACGCCGGCGTGGTGGAAGCTGGGCGCGTGGGGAAGCCTCTGCACCGAGTGAGATGAGCCACAAACGAAGAGCCAAAGCCTCCAACCTGGAGAAGTTCAAAGCTCTGGACACCCCATCCACAATGCGAGCCTGCAAGGAAATCAAAAACCAAATGAATTTCAGGCAGATCCAGGGGTGCCTGTTTCTGGCACTTTTCACATAGACACGGCCGTGTGAACGTGCACGTGTGTTACACACATACTACACGTTGTGCAGCCAACGCTCGCTGCCGCCTCGCTCAAACACAGGGCAAACCAGCTGTGCTTGATGCCGTGCTGATGTTTGCAGCTGGTTTTGTTTTACCCTGAGCAGTGAAAGCCAACAGGGTGATGTAGGGCCCCCCAGGCTGGGGGATGCACAAGCGTGTGTCAGCTGAGAGGGCAGCTCGTTGCTGCCCGAGGCATCCACAGCACGGTAGGAAAAGGCAAATACCTCCTTATCTAGGCTACAGCTAAATTCAGCCTTGAGTAACTGCCCTCTCCTTGGGGCCAAAGTATCACCGCAGGCCAGGTCCGAAGGGAGAAGGTGAAGGAGAGGTAATTTCCCACATCATTGGCTCTAAAGGGGCACTGTGATTTCAGGAGTGAAATGCAGCTGTGCGCAGAGAAAAGGGAAAAGAGAACGGAGTGTCTCCCAGCAATGAGCCGAGCACCACCGACCCTGTACAGCATCATCCCCAGAGCAGAGGAAGACTGCAGTGGGCACAGCACAGCACTGGTGTGGATACACAATTATTTTGGCCCAGGGAACACAAGATGTCCTTCCCACACCTTTGTAAGGCAGGAGTGACTCCAGGGCTAGCACAGCACCTCCAATGCAGGCTCAAGAACAAACAAAACATTGAGTTACACAGCACAAAATCTTAATCAGAAGCGTATATGAGCCTACTACTCCCCCTCAGCCTTGTGCTCCACACACTAGCTTCTCACAAGAAGTCTTTTCTCCAGTTTTTCTCCAGCACAGCAGCGCTGCAGCTTTAGGTGATAAGGAATTGATTAAACCACACAAAAACTCTGCCCATCCACCAAAAAAAGCTGTTAAATCCCCTTGGGATAAAGTTATTACCCCCTGCCCCCATTAATGCTGGGCATTCACTGCGCTGCTGAGGGTTGTACCTATAAACTCCCTCTTCCACAGCCCACTGGCACTGCTGGGCTCCTGCTTCCCATGCAGGTGCCTGGCTGTCCCAAACCCACCCAGAAATTGGGCATCCCTCGGGTAAAGCAGGGTTTTTGCCCTGGTCCCCCCGCCCGAGAGCAGGGGAAGGCTAAGCGCTGCCCAGGAGCGGCGGTAGCTGTGCCCACAAATGGCTAAATTCACCCCAATATCTGCGCTGGTCCTGCAGGTGGATGGATGGCTGCAACGTGGTCAAACAGTACCATCTGCAGGGAAGAGGAGAAGTTGCATGAGATGCCTGGTGGCCACGAACACCGTGTCTCCAGCCGGAGTGGGCTCTGGTGGGCTCCGGCTCTCACAGCTGAGTTACCTGCCACCTTTGCTCACTTGAACACAGGTTAATGAGAAGGAAATAATAATAATAAATAAATAAAAAACAACAAAAAACCAAACAATGCAATGACAAGGCAGTGTCTACAACTTGCAAAAACACCCCGAGGGCAGAGGTGCCGGCAGGAGAGCTCGCACTGCAAACCTCACCCCAGAGCCAGGCAGGTGCCCAGCGTGGCATCCTCCGGGAGCCACAGGGGAGAGCCAAGCTGGGCAGGGACACAGGGGAAGGAGCTCGGAGGCAGGAGGAATAACTGGACACCAGCACGGGATCGAGAGTCTAGTTCCCTGCCCGACTGCAAGAAAGGAGAGTTTTCAGAAACCTATGCATGAGTAACACCGAGATGCCCACTGTAACCAGTTCCTCTGGGCTGCAAACTGGTAGCAAAGGACTCCTACATTTGTTTGCTATCCATTTACATATTTCCTGGTAAAACGTGTCTCCTGGATAGAGAATATCTCTGTAGTATTGAAACAGCCACAGCAAGCCAGTTCACTACAAACCACGAGATTTATCCCATTAATAAATCATTTCAGAGCTGTGAATGAAAGGCATTTGTAAGCAGCACAGTTTAAGACATCAGGCTCTCATCAGCCCAGGTTGTGGCAGGGTCACCACAGGTCCCCCAGAAGATGACTCAGTTGCTCATCTGGTTTATTTTCCCTCATGGGATAACACATAAGAGGAAGCAGAAAGTAAGCACAGCCAAAACTGTTGGCATAAGATCAGTTCTCTCACCTACCAAAGGTCCTGACAGGGCATGGTGGGACCCATCAGTGGTTACCAGCAGCCTCAGAACACTGTATGCAGCTCTGATGTCCTACTGATGGGGCAACCCTCTTTTTAAGGCCATAAACATTCTGCCTGGTCTGTACAACATCTACAAGTGATCTGAAAAGATTCATCCTGGAGGAGGAAAGCTGTGCTTTGTCAGCTTTTACATACTTGAGCAAAAGAGACTACCTCTAACTAACATTTTAACAGCAGGGCCACTTAATGAATTAAAGGTCATCAGGTGTGCAGGAAGCCCAGGTTATTTATCCTGGATCCCACCTGGGGATTCCCACCAGCTATTGGTGCTATTTGGTACAGCAAGAAACACCTCCATGAGTCACTGAGCTCTCCAAGAGATCCATAGGTCAAGTCCTTCAGTCTTCTTGCATCTCAGTTCTGGATCTGAAAAGCAAAGTAGACTCTTGTTTTCTTTTGCCCTGATGATTTAAACCATAGAGTTTGTGTAGCAGGGACACTCTCTACTGCAGTTCTTGATAGCACCAAGTCCTGATCCCAGGTGGGGGCTGTGGAGCAGGCTGTGTGTAGTTAGGTGGCAATCAGAGTAATTGTAGCCTCAAGAAGGGTTATATCGTCACCGTCAAAGGACATTAGCATTAGTAGTAGCATGTTAACGGGAGAGTCAGCCCAAACACCACCATTCTTCTGGTGAGCCCACAAAAGTGGAAAGGACACACGTACTTAATTTTAAAAGGTGAGAAGAAATACCCACAGGCACGGTAGTGGCAGCACATGACGCCTTTTTTAGGGACAGGGCAGCTCAAGAAAAAGGGACATGTTTCTTTAGCTGTTAATTTGTGGTGCTTCCCCCAGAACCAGCACCACAGTAATCCTAAATAGCTGCAGCCACAGCATTTACTGCGCATTATGGCATCTGCAAAAGTGCTGACAGGGACAGCTGACAACCACTCTGCAATGTAATTCACACCATAACATCATCTCCCAGGCGCTTGGATTTCTCATTGAAAAATTATGTGACGCTTTTTTTTTTTTTTTTGAAATCCAGTGCCAATTTATTGATACACAGCCTGCACCAAATAATGAGGACTCCAGCAAATTACCTTAATTTAAATTTTTTTTTTATCCTGTAAGGTCTGTCTCAACTCTTTTACTCACCGTGTTAAAAGTCAATGAATTCTTCAGCTGTAAGAAACGTGTTTATTTTATAATCTCCCCATGTGAGAACTCGCTCTCTGTGCAGCATTCCTCTGACTCCAGCCTGCTCCCTTTTGGATTTCTGTCCTGAGCAGTTTTATTTGCTAAACCCTACACCAAGACATAGTAAAGAAAAAAAAAATCTATCACTCAATAAACTCCTTTTAGTTTCTTTCTCAATATAAAATACATCTAGAGGTCAGAGCCTAGCAGTGATCTACCTCTTTATTGAGCAGATCAACCCAAGATATTTCTTACAGGAAATATTTTACTTTACCTCGTCTGCAGCCTGCTTGAGTCAGAGACCATTCAGTTGTAAAACTCAAGCATTGCTCCCAGCTTAGAATCATAGACTTGTCCAGGTTGGAAGGGACCCTTAAGATCATCCAGTCCAACCATCAACCTATCTCTGATAAAAAAACATCACTAAGCCATGTCACTAAGCACTACATCAACCCATCTTTTAAATACCTCCAGGGTATGGTGCCTCAACCACTTCCCTGGGCAGCCCATTCCAAGGCTTAATAACCCTTTACGTGTAAAAATTTTTCCTAATCTCCAATCTGAACATCCCCTGGCGCAACTTGAGGCCATTTCCTCTTGTCCCATGGCCTGTTCCTTGGGAGAAGAGACCGACCCCCCCTGGCTACACCCTCCTTTCAGGGAGTTGGAGAGAGCGAGAAGGTCTCCCCTCAGCCTCCTCTTCTCCAGGCTGAACACCCCCAGCTCCCTCAGCTGCTCCTCACAAGACTTGTGCTCCAGACCCCTCACCAGCTTCGTTTCCCTTCTCTCGACCCGCTCCAGCACCTCAATGTCTTTTTTGTGGTGAGGGGCCCAAAACTGGACAGAGTACTTGAGGTGGGGCCTCACCAGTGCCCAGTACATGGGGACCATCACCTCCCGAGTCCTACTCCCCATGCCCCACATCCTACTTCTGAGTCCTACTCCCAGCCAGGATGCTGTTGCCTTCTTGGCCACCTGGGCACACTGCTGGCTCATGTTCAGCCCACAGGCGACCAACACCCCCAGGTCCTTTTCTGCCAGGCAGCTCCAGCCACTCTGCCCCAGCCTGGAGCGCTGCAGGGGGTTGGTGTGACCCAAGGGCAGGACCTGCACTTGGCCTTGGTGAACCTCAACAAGCTTAAGTCTATAAGCACCACTGACTTCCCAATATCAAGCCCTATATAGGATTTGCCGCATCAAATCAGATGTTTGTCTCACTAGATTTTAAATGCAATACGGGTAATTAAAAAAAGAGTAATTCCACAATACACATGAGGTCTTCAAAGCCTAGGTTCTGCTACCGGCTAGCCAAGACTGGGTTAGTCCCAGTTGCATCTGGTACCTACCATCGAGGAGGCAGAGTGAAGCCACCAGACAGCACAGGACACCAGTGTTGCAGGAGCCAGGAACCTCCTTGTCCAGTGCTGGGATCGACCCAGCTCCGGTGCATCAAGCTATAAACACGATGATGATCATGAAGTTATCTAGCTAGTTCCATATAATTAAAAAAAAAATGAAAATAATGTTACGTTTGTAGCCTGAGCACATTTCTCTAAGTTGTTTAAATTATGGGGCACAGGAAAACTGAGCACAAGGTCAAATCTTTCTACCTCTGCCACTGCTCAACC